GAGAAGCTTCCTTGGTGAAGGGTGAAGACTGCACTTGTCCGTGGGTATAAGGACGGATGTTTGGGTGTTGTTAGGGAGTATGCTGGCTTAGTAAATTAGTGGTTGTGGGTTATCCTCCAATGACTATGATTTCACTAGCACTGACTAGTTAGCCATGTTGCCAATACCAGAAATGGTTTACCTCTTGTTGAATGGGTCTTAAGTCCAACTAGAGAGCTGTTGATCACCACCAAAGTATGTGTGCCTCCACTACAGCCTTAAGGCTATTGTGACATGCTAGTCATTGATGCGGTTCACAGGTGTCCTAGCTGTAGGACTGTTGGGTGCTTTCCTCCTTTGGAAGTCCTCAGTGTCAGGGGGATATTCACATCAGTTACTGCTCAGAGGTCTCTGAGCCCCGTTTGCTGAGATGCATGATGTCTTCAGCAATAGAGACTTACCTTCCACCTCTGCAGGGCAACCCAGGGCAGCAGAAATTGGCTGTGTGCTTTGGAAGTCTCTTGGACAGCCTTAGTCAACCCCTCAAAAGAGGGATTCTCATGTCTGGTATTGGGCTTTTCTGTTAAGTTGTCTTTGGCTCTTGGAGGGAGCACTTCAGCCCAGATGAGAAAAGGTCATGTATATTCATATACTGAATCATGTGTGTTTTTTTTAAGGTAAATAGTTAATAATGTGCTTCTTTGTGGCTTTTTCAGATGTCCTTATTGCTATTTTACCCTCTTCCACATTCTTCTGTATTTACCTCCCTGTCCCTCCCTAGAGTTTTCCCTCTCCCATTTCCCTGATCAGATCACGTGTACCCTGCTAATCCCCTCTCTCTTGCTCCCCAGCTCCTCTCTACTGGCAATGGTACCATTTGGTTTCCTGGTTTCCATAGTTACTACAGGATTTTAAGGAGAATAAGGAGATGGGACAAAAGGTTTGTGAGTCCTTACAACAGACAGGTTTGCAGCCAGCAACTTAACTAATGGCCTCGCCAGAGCAGTGAAGAAACGCTACCAGCTTCTACCGGGTCATTGGCTGAGAAACTTGGTTGTCTAGACAACTAGACAAGTTTCCCTGAAGCTGTCTTGGTGCTTAAGATTCTGGAGAATTCCTCATGAGCCTGGAGGCCTCAACTAGACACAGCCCCAGGAAGTCACAGGCTCATCTTGTACAGTGGCCTTTGAGACTGGCCTGCACAGGGCTGAGGGCTACCCAAGATTGCAGATGCTCACTGGGACTCCTGGAGCACAAGTCCTGTGGGTGGCTGTTGGGGGAGGTCATAGCCCATTGACTTCTGGGAAATTAGTAATGCAACAGCACATACTCTCCAGAGTTCTAAAGATGTCTGTCTGTCTGACTCACAAAGCTGCAGCCATTACAAGGTCCACCGCCAAGAAGTCTTCTCTCACAGGCATGCTGGTGTTGAGCACTTTCTAGTATTTTAAAGGTAACATGCTATCAGTCCTCACATGAGCTCTGTAGGCCAGGTTCTGTTATTACCTTCATTTTATAGATAGGGAAACTGAGGTCTGGATGGGTCAGATAACATACTCCAGGCCAACTGGTTGGAGGCAGACAGAGCATAAAACCGGGTAGTCTGGACCAGAATCTGCTGTGGTCGACACTGTCTTCTCTGGTGGAAGGGTACCCTGTGTTGAGCAATTCCTCGTGTTTTCTATAAGCAAAGACCTGCCATTCACTCTTTCATTTAAATCTAACAAAAAAGAATTTTGTCCCATTTAGTAGGTGTGAAACCTACTTGGAACTGTAAGCTGGAACGAACCCTTAATGTCATCTGGCCAGGTGTTTTATTAACAGTAATATGCAAAGTAAGAAAATAAACAAACAACAAAAGCAACCCAAACCACAGCATGATGCACATTCTTGCTCAGATGCAAAACCAGCCTATTTCTCCCTGTATTTTATAGATTTGACACTACCATGCTAAATTTAGTTTGCAGAAAAACTCAATAAAAATATCTAAGTACTAGAATAGGTGTATGGTTGTGTATTTATAATTCACACGTTAGCCTTTTCACGTCAGAAGTATTTCCTTCGAACTTACTCTGCACCAGGCATTGCAAGTATTCGTTCAGATTAATATCCCCAAACTCTGCAAATCACAGGGCTCTTTGTTGAGCTATGATTACAAACGAGGCACCTAGGACACAGGACCTGGGCACCAGTCCCAGGCCTGGTTAATCCTTTTGCAGCACACTTGTTTTCAGTTAACTAGTGCAGAGCTAACTAGGACAGAGTCATTCTGGACTCCTAAAGGACACCTCCAGATGGAGTGAGTGATGTTCCCATAGACGTCAAAGAGCTTCAGTTGATAAACTGGGCACAGTGGTGCACATCTGTAATCTCAGTACCAAGGAGGCAGAAGTAGGAGGATCAGGGAGGTCAAAGTCATCCTTGGCTACATAGTGACGCTGAGGCCAGTCTGGGCTACATGAAACCCTGCCTCAAAAATTTTAAAAGCGAGCTTCGGTTGACACCTGCTCAGAAGTTCAGCCCATCCAGGCTGCGCTGCTCCAACATTCTATTCTGTAGCCACCGCAAATATCACAGGCATTTAAATGTGCTGTCCACTCTTGGAGAATAATTACAGCTATTTAATTGTATTCATAATTTAGTGTACACCTGAAAAATATGCTGTGAAATATCAGGAGGACCCTTTAATACTGGTGTTCATTTACAAACTGTCACATTTATAATGCGTCTTTAATCTTCTAGGGTCTGCCGGAATTTTTTATTGCAGTCTGCTTCATGCTTTAAATATTAAAGATTCGGCAATACTTCAAAAGGTGATAATGCTTGATACTCCGATGGCGCCTAAACCTCAACAGCTAACTATACTGAGGGGTCTTCAGTGGCTCCAGCTTAATTAAACATGCATGTGTGTTTTCAAATGCAATATTTTTCTGCTTGTTAGGTTTTTGACAAACCTCCAAACAGGTCCAGGTGGAACAAAGCATGTAAACAGGCTTGTGAGTAGAGCTTAAAGAACTCAAATTAGCACCTCCCGCAATTAATATGCAGAGCTTGGATCCCTGTGATCGACAATGCCATCAAGCACTGTCTGCAGCTGAACAATGTAGCTTTGTCTTTTCATTTTTCTAAAACATGTCCAGTTTAATTATGCGAAGACGTTGGTGACAGCTTCTGAGCCAATAAGATGGTGTTTGTTCTCTGTAACTTCCTCTTCCCCGGGGACCATGGCCTGCATGACAGGGCAGTGGCAGGCTTTATTTCAGTGTATCATGTATTCTCGTTACCTAGCACTTAAAGGTAGCCTCCTTCTATAATTCAGCATGCCCTCCTAAAGCAAGACTGCTAAACCCTGAGACCAAGCGACGTGTGGCATGGATACTTGAGAACTATTCAAGCAGCTTTTAGGTGAGAAAAAGAATTGGACAAATATAGAAATCCATCTATATTATTGGAAAAGCCAAAATTTCTATTTGGCATGTGCCACACTTTGGATTTCTCTGGGAGAACAAAAGTGTTTTGAGGAAATTGTGTTTTGTTTTGAATATGAACATTCACATTCTTGTCACCAAAAATGAAATACTAAGCTCACATTCCCAGCCCACGACATCTAGGCATTATTTCACAGACCCACATGGTATTGTCTGATATTAAAATCCCCATGTAAGTAAGACTGTCTCAAAATGTTACTTATTGGAGCGACCCAAATAGAGACTGACGGTAGATGGGAAAGAGAACGTGATGTTTTACAGATGAGGGAAATAAGAAGAAGGTGGCTTTGAGTGATTTGGTCTGCCATACATCCAGCGCGTGACAACGGCTCAACCAGACATAAATTGTAATAAAAATATATGTGGAGGCTGCCAATAAAAGTTCAATTATTGTACTGTAATAGGCAAGCCTGCAAACAGATAGATGATAGATAGATAGATAGATAGATAGATAGATAGATAGATAGACAGATAGACAGATAGATAGATAGATAGATAGCAAAAGTCTGTGAGAACCTAGGCGGTATTAGAGCAGTTTTCCAGGTGAAGAAGTGCCAGTGGATATGACAGGTAAGGTATTGTTATGATAATACCTAAGGCAAGGCAGCAACCCCACGAAAGGATAGACAAATCTGAATTAATTTGATCTGATCGGTGAGGTGGCATTTGGATATAATCTTCCTGTATTGTGGAGAAGGCTGCATGCATATTATACCAGGAATGAGCTGGGCGGAAGGAAGGGTATAGACAGAGGACTCAGTGGGAAGAAAGACAAATTACAGGCAAGGTTTCAGGAGAGACTGCTTGGCCGTGGAAGGAGCACCCTTGGAAATTGGATTTGTAAACAAATTAAAATCTGAGTTCTTTTCCTGAAGCCTTTAGTGGGTGTTGACAATAAACACTTAACCTTGGTGGTGGGAAGACTTTGAAACCAGTAATTAGGGGAAAATGGAGGTAGGAAAGCGTATTTTAATTCAGCTTCAACGTTCTGATAAGCCACAGAGAGCATTTCTACCCTGGACTGTGAGCCGAGTGGCCATTTTAGATCCCCAGAAAGGAAGACGTTGTCTTCCCAGGGAATTCTAGACATTGTGCGCTGTCTTGACCTGTGGTCAGCACCTCTGATTAGAAGTCTTCATGGTTACCAAGCCTTGAAAGCACAAAGGAGAGCAGAGTGTGCTGAGAGCGTGCGTTTTATTAAGCAGCAGAAACTCAGAATTTGAGCCTGCAGAAAAGCGTCTGCGTGATCTTTAATGGATTTTTAAAGATGACTAGGGAGGAAATGGGAGCTCAAAGCACGGGAAGGAGAAATTCCCTGAAGGAGCGTTCTGGAGTAAATCAGAGCAACCGAAAGAGTGAACTCCTAGGGCCTGGGGATGTCTCCTAGGTTTTCAGCTGGACACTTACGGCCCGGTGGGTCCCTGAACACCTGTGCTGTGGGCAGATTCTGACAGAGCAGCTCGCAGGGAGACGGACGGCAGTACCTGAAGTGCTGTTTGCAGGGCAGAAAATTGCTCCCTTTCCACGCTGGGCTGCCTCGGCGCCCGTCCGTCACGCGCGGCTTCTTACAGCCTCCCGTATAACCGTGCCCTTTGTGTGTGCCAACCTGGCCTCCGTAACGGTATTCCTTGCTCCTCTTCTTCACCGCTGCACAGGCAATTAAGAACAAAGGAAACAAATGAGGTGGCTGTCACCAAACCCGAGTCTATAGGTGACGGACACCCAAGACCAAATAGCCCGAGATGCCGCCACCACGGAAGGAACCTGAAAGCAGGAAAATGACCCTGCTTCCCAGGGATTTTACTTCTGTATTTATTTTCTTGAGGTAAGCGGCTGATTTCAGCTACTTTCTTAAAAAACAACCTTAGTAAGTACCTCTGTTAAGAAGTTTGGCAAACGCTGTCAATACGATCATGTGTCCGTATGGGAAGGGGATCTCGGTAGGAGAGTCCTGCTTCCATCTTGTAGCACACGGACTGGAGTTAAACCCATACAGCGGAACTGTATCTGCAGTAGCCCTCAGAGGAGACGCCCTATTGGGCTGACACGTCATGAATCAAAACAGGTAAGATTTCTGCATTAGTGGGGCCTATGTCTTAAAGCCCACCAAACATCATCTCTCCCTCCAACCCATGGAAGTCCCTTCTCTCCCTAGGGCCATATTTACAACTGTCTCCCTCTCCTTTGGATCAACCGTGTAATCCCCTCAGCCTTCTGACTGACCTGAAAACAGCACTCTAAATAGCAATACCTGCCTTTGTTCTAGACTCAGGTGAAGGGATTGGGATTTCAAGCCACATTGTGGCTTGTGAACATTCAAAGAAGAGGAAGGACTTAGGGCTCCTAAGATAATCATTCCAGGCCTGCCTCTGTGTTAGAATCACCTCAGTGACCTTCAAAAGTGTCTCCATGACTGTGTAATATCCCACATGCTCAATCAGCTAATCTTGGATTGGGCCCAATTTTTGGTATTTGATCAAACTCTACCCACAGTTCAGTTTAATGTACATCCAGGGGTGGACATACATGCTCTAAACTAGAACGCAGCTGATGGGAGACTGGCCTGGAGAACACCTACTGGGGTAAGATGGAGAGGCCTGCGCAGAGACTCTGATGAGTTTGAGTTTAATTCTGTGAAAAACGAGGGTCCACAAAAGACTTTTAAAGCACATAGGCGATATGATCTGGTCTCTTAGAAACTATGGTGACAGAGTGGAAGATGTGCTGGAGGAAGAAAAGGCCACGGGCAATGAGACTTGGATAGTATTTGAAGTAGTCCTTGTGAGAGAAGATGCTAGCTCTTGTTCAGTCAAGGAACAAGAACTTCCCTGAAGAAACACCAGTCATTTCTTAGCAGATGTGCAACACATGGTAACTTGCAGTGCAGGGGTTAGTGAGAGGAGGAACCAACACTCACGTGGGTTCTGGGTTGGTGCTGGTTCAGCACAGGCCACTGCTAACGGGGATGAAGATCCCCACCACGCCTGTGCTATCCAGGTTAGCTGAGCACTGTGGGTGGGACTCAGGCCTGTAAGATCCAAATCACCGTCAAGAGCGTTTTCAGTTTGAAATTCAATGGCTATGTTGCATAAGCTATCAACACACGCCATTTTCATTTCCATCTTCAAATTCTCTATACTGTTCAGCCTTTTGTATGGGGTCAAAGATGTCTAGTAGGTAAAGAAATGTGGGACTCAAAGGACATGTCTCACATGCTTCTGATATGCCAGCCTGGTTAAGCTTCCACACTACAGTGTAAGTTATATTCTGTTATATTGATCTGAACTGTGTCCGTAATTTCCCTTCAGCACTTTTGCTTTTACAATCCGCTACACAAAACAACTCTTCTTTTTAATTTCTAAAAATGAGCTGCCAATGACGATGTTTATTGCAGGCAGTATGTCAGTCTCCTATCAACGAGTGGTTCTTGGTTTATAGGGTAATGCATGGCTGTATTGTCGTTACCACTCTAAGGGTGTGAAAATAAGGCTACATGGTGTCGATGTCACCTCCACTCTGGGGATGACGACGTGGGCATGGATGCAGAGAGGCTTCCCTCAGTTCTCTGTGGCAAGATAAACTCAGATGTTTTCTGCTTGCTTCTCTGGATGTGCCATGGGTAACCTAGCAGGCCAAGTTAATATTAGCTTGTGTGGGGTCTATGTGGGTGTTTTGTTGCTGTTCAGAGAAATGACCAGTTTACTTGGCTATATTGACAGCTCTACTGTAAAATTTCCTGGCACTAAAGGTCAAAAAGACCCAGTTTTCCTCTGCTTGTTTCTACCCAAAAGAGAATAAATCTGGGAGCTGAATCGCTTCTCTGACAATAATTTATGAATCATGCATCGACTGTGTTTGAATTGAGAAAGGCTTTCATATCCTTTCCATTAGCTCAGATTAAGTTTTCATATAGATGCTGAGAAGCATGCTAGCAATATCCTCAGCTCATTTTTATGAAAATTTTATCAGCACTTTTTTCTGTACTACACTCCAATTGGGATGTCTCAGAATCTAAAGCTCAGCTTTGGACATGAACTTCTCTCAACCTGGCTGGCTGCTGCTCTAAAGGTTTCAATATTTTATGGGCTCTGGCTAACTCAGCCGTGAGATGCGAGCTGCCGAGATTTAAGTCTAATGTAAAATCATGAACGGATGAAAACTGGGATGTCATAAGTAATACATCTACAAGAGTGGGGCACAGTTACCATTTTTAAAAGGGCTTTAAAAAGAAAACAACATTCTCTGTTCTGTCTTTAGGCCCCAAAATGAAAAGCCCCTGAGCTATTGTACTAGCATGGAGCCATATTTCTTGCTTGCTTTTCTTCAATTGCTGCTTAATTGTTGTGGTGGGCTGTTCCTGCCTCCTCCTGCCTCTTCGGGTCCCCCATCCACATGAAAGCTCCTGATCCACGCATTCCAGAGAAATGGGCGCAGCGTGGTAGAGCGCATAGGCCAAACCCATTTTATTCATCTTCCTCTTTTTGTCTCAAAACTGATTTAAAACATTTGGAAAATCTGTCTATTCAGCTAAAGTGTCCCAGCGCATTCTTTCCTAGGAACAGTGGGGTCACACGTGATCTGCCTGATGGACTTTTCGGCTGCAATCTATAGCCATTTCCCTTGAGCCCCACAGAGCGGGCAGAGCAGAGGAGCCTCCATAATGGCAGCAATAACAATGCGTTCTTTGTGTGCAAGAATCCAGGGGGAAGAGCCCGGTAGACTGGCTAGCCACAAAACCCATCACTTTGCACTCACTTATTTCTTCATTATGCGCTCTACCCTTAAACATATTTTTAAACAGCAAATAGATTTCTCTGTGAAACACCACCTAAGCATGAAGTGAACAAACACAAAACGTCTCCTTCGGAGATGGCTGTGGCCATTATTGCTCACTGTTAACCTGTTTCAAAGAGGACAACGGATGTCAGGAGCTGCCTGCCTATGCCTGCAGTTGTAGGGAGAGCAATGATTTCTGGACAGGGTTTAAGTCATGCATTCAGAAATGCCACCTGATACATGCACTGACATAAGATTCTCTCTCCAACTCCAAAAATCTAAAATCAACAACCCACTAAAATACCTATAGAATTGTACAAGTACCAAAGACCAGACTGACTAAGTGAAGGGGCCCTTCAGGGTGTGGACCTCCAGCTACCTGGTCAGGTAGGTGACTATGTTAGTCTTAAGAGGCACAGGGACCTCAGGATGTGGGGCTCCCCCATGCCTCGGGTCCAAAGTTGCTGGCCAGCCCTTGTGTGGCTCAGCCGGAGCCCAGCCTCTCTTTGAACTGCAGCAACATGGAAAATGCTTGGACGTAAGCACATCCTTGAGGCTAGCCGTGGAGTTTCTCGGTCTTCCTCTCCTCTGGCAGAACACTAGTCTCTGTGGCTGTTACGAGGCGAGGCCACGAGATCATTCCTTTCTCGTCCAGTTGCCAGTTAGCAGAGCTTGACCAGAGCTGTGCCGCAGCCCTCAGCCCCAGCTCACCAGACGCAAACCACAGACCAACATTTGTAGGCTGTGAGGGGCGTGTTCTCCGTGAAGGCTGGTGGCATGTCTCCGTTCTCCATTCCCAGCCAGCACCAGGGACAAGGGCTCCGTGGCCGGGCGCTTGTCACTCTGGGGAGGAGGCCGGAGGAAGGAGAGGAGAAGGTAGCCTTGAGGGCTGAAGCCCCCCCTCCACTCAGGAGGACCTGCAAAAACTCCAGAGAGGATAGTGAGGACAACAGTGATGAAAGCTGAAAACAAATGTGATTGAAGAAAAGGCAAATTATACCAAGTGTGTATGCGCGTGATATGAGGTGAGACTCAGCAAGAGATACCAAATCACTGCGTCTTTCCTCCCAGTTACCCGACACACAGATGTTCATGGGAGGGAGGGAAAGACACACAGTAATGCCAACCCCTGGCGGGTGAGATGTCAATGTTCTGGATTTTAAACCCTGGATGGACATCTCTGTATGCATACCCAAGCAGTGCATGGACCACAGAGCTCAGTTTTCCACTTACGCTCTCTTCCTCCTCTTCCTCGCCTCCCTTAAAGGCTCCTCTGCTCTCCCCGTGGTCCACCTTTTGACTCTGGCCACATGTTCATGCACGCATACAGTTTAGTTCTAGAGGTGAGAAAAATTCAGCACGTTTGTTTGGGTCTGGTTCTCCTCACATGGCGACCTCCAGTTCCCACCCCCCCTTTTTCCTGCAAATGTCACAGTTTTACTCTTTCCGTTATGGAGGAATAAAAGTCTATAATGTGAATCTAATTATTTGATCTCCTTGTTCAAAATTTACCAATAACTGGCATTTTAATCAGATTAAAAGCCAAACTCCTCGGGCTTGGATAGGGTCTGCTGTCTGAAACCTTTCCTCACTTACCTTTTCTCCCATTCCCAGTGCCCACCTTCCCAGCTCCCTAAGGCCCTGGCCCCCAAGAGCCTCTCTGCTTTAAGACCTGTGCCTGCTGTGTTCATCACCTGGAGCCTTCACTCGCGGTTGCTCTCGGTTCAGTGAGCTCAGTTCTGCTTAGTTTTCAGGTCCCTGCCTCGTCGTCAGCCCTGCCTGCAGAGGCATGTCCTGGCACTCCCAGCCCTGGTCTCACCTCCGCTTACATCTGCCTATGGAACTCCAAGGTCACCACCACCTCAGCGTCTCTCAGCTGCTGATCTTTTTCAATAGATCATGAGCTCATCTGCCTTGTTTCCCCAGCGTCTGACACAGAGCCTGGCATGTGCTGGGCCTTCTGAAAACGTCTGGTGAACAATAAAGGCCTTGCAAGGAAAGGGAGAACATGAGCATGTGGCCTGGACAAACATGCTTCATGCTTTTTCTACGCCCTGTCTGGGTTGAGCCTGCAAATGAGGTCAGTGTTTAATCAATCGGTCCAAAGTGCCTTTAAACTACAGCTTCTCATACGGAGCCCGAGATGAAAGGGAATGGAAGTTGGGATTTCCTCAGAAAAAAGCCAACACTGGCACTTCAAACAGGAGACTTGCAGATGAAACATATCCATCCCCTGCCCGTACTGGTCAGTGGGAAGCTCTTAACAGCCCTGAAAAACAATGAGCTACAATATTCTCTCTCTCTCTCTCTCTCTCTCTCTCTCTCTCTCTCTCTCTCTCTCTCTCTCCTTCCCTCCCTCCTTTTCTCTCCCAGAAGCCCCTCTGCCCAAGCAACAATCTTAAGAGGAGGGAAATGCAATTACACCCGTGCCTGTTTAAAATTTAAGAGCACAAAAATGAGTTGAGGTTCTTTTTTTTTTTTCCTTTTTGCAGGAAACAAATTAGCCCACAGTAGACTTGTGCCTGCAAGCAGCCCGTTTAATTTGGTTACTTCCTATGCCTTGAGGCTAGCTTTCCCCCTCTAATTCTGCCAACTTCTTTCCATATCAGGGCTTATCTCCTTGCTGTCTGCAGAATCGGATGACAAGTGAGAGTCCGAGTTGTATTTTATCTATTTAATCATCCCCGTTGCCTGATCCCAGAAAGTCTAACTAGGGTGATGAGTCATTTTTACAAGCACTGGCTCTCTCATAAATTGAGGCCCAATGGTTTCAGCCAGTGAATTCTAAATGTTTAAACCTACCCCATTAGGTTTATAGCTAAAATTCAATTCATAAAGTTCATGTTTCTGACATGGTTGAGTTGTACAGGATATAGGCACCCACCCCATACACACACACATATACAACACTTTATTTTGAGTAAAGTGTTGGGTTCTGTTCTTGCATATAGTAAGTCATAATCACTACTATTTTTTTTTTGTTATTGTTTCAAGACAGAGTTTCTCTGTGTAGTTTTGGTGACTGTCCTGGATCTCACTCTGTAGACCAGGCTGGCCTCGAACTCACAGAGATCTGCCTGGCTCTGCCTCCCAAGTGCTGGGATTAAGGGTGTGTGCCATCACTGCCCAGCAATCACTACTATTTTTTATCATTAATTAAATTAATTAAACTTCAAATGGTCCCTAGCAAAACAAGATGACAGCAATTCCAGGCCAGCCTGGGATAAATAGCATGCAACTTCTGCATTGGCAAAGTCAGGAAGATAAGGTGGCATACACCTCTAATCCTAGCAGTTGGTAGGTTGAGGCAGAAGGATTATTAGTTTGAAGTCAGCCTGGCCTCAAAGCAAGACCCTGCTTCAATAAAACCAAGTGCACAGCTTTCAGGTGGACATGGGGATCCACATGCCATGGTGCCTCACTTGAGACATCAGTGGGTAGTTCTTAGACTTCAGTCAGTGCTGCATCCCCAGGGGGCCTCCCGGAAGGTGTCCTAGGTTGCCAGGTGTCTCAGTACAGAAGAAAAAGCCCTTTGAGCCAAAGGTCCTGAGTCTGACACCAAAATCCTTCTAATGGTCTAGACAAATTTCTCAGTTACTTAATTTCTGTAACTTGCTTCCTCTGTAAAATGGGAACAGATTTCTTTCTTTTTTTTTTTTTTTTTTGGTTTTTCGAGACAGGGTTTCTCTGTGTAGCTTTGCGCCTTTCCTGGAACTCACTTGGTAGCCCAGGCTGGCCTTGAACTCACAGAGATCCACCTGCCTCTGCCTCCCGAGTGCTAGGATTAAAGGCATGCGCCACCACCGCCCGGCCAGGAACAGATTTCTTTGTGGTGAAATGCACAAGGCATCTGACTCTGCAAACACATGATGTAAAGAATACCATATGAAGTAAATATATATATATATGTATATATATGTATGTATGTATGTATGTATATGTATATATACATATATATGTATCCTTTCTCAACATTATTTAAAAAAAATCACCATAACTAACCCAAACACACAAAATCCTAACAGAAGAAGACACTTAAAAGCGAATGGCAGGGCTGAGGAAATGGCTCTGCAGGTATCAGGGCGCTTGCTGCAGAAGCATGAGGACTTCAGTTCAGATCCCAGGACCCACATAAGAAGCTTGGCCTGACTGAGCATGCCTATCACCCCAGCACTGTGGACGGGGGTGGGGGTGGGGGTGGGGGGTGGTCTGGTGGGTTGCTGGGGTTGCTGGCCACCAGCCTAGTTCTGTCTTCAGTGAGAGACCCTGCACCAAGACAATAAACAGAGAATACCAGAGAAGAACACCCCACTTCCCTGGCCGACTCATGTGCGTGGGCACATTCATACACATACATCACATGCATACAACACACACACACACACACACACACAAAATTAATATTTATATAATGATAATATCAATGTAATGAGGTCATTAACATGAGCACATACATCACAGATGAATTCACACACAGTGAATATTGATACAATGTTAATAGCAATGTAATGAGGTCATTAACTGTGCATGGGCACATACATACACATATATCACATGCATAACACACAGTTAATATATTGATACAGTATTAATAGCAATGGTAATTGTGGTGATATTGTGTTCCCCAAAATATTGTGCACCCTAATAAACTTATCTGGGGTCAGAGAACAGAACAGCCAGCCACTAGACAGACATAGAGGCCAGAAAATGGTGGCACTCACACCTTTAATCCTATCACTTGGGAGGCAGAGATCCACTCAGATCTCTGTGAGTTCAAAGCCACACTGGAAACAACCAGGCATCACCATGCTTTTAATCCCAGGAAGTGATGGCAGAAAGCAGAAAGGTATATAAGGCATGAAAACCAGGAAATTGATAGAGCCTGGTTAAGCTTTTAGGCTTTTAGCAGCAGTTCAGCTGAGATTCATTCTGGATGAGGACTCAGAGGCTTCCAGTCTGAGGAAACAGGATCAGCTGAGGAATTGGCAAGGTGAGGTGGCTGTGGCTTGTTCTGCTTCTCTGATCTTCCAGCATTCACCCCAATACCTGGCTCCAGGTTTGTTTTTATTAATAAGACCTTTTAAGATTCATGCTACAGGTAATGAGATCATTAACTGTACATGGGCACATACATGCACACACATCACATGTGTACAGCACACACACAGTGAATAGTTACACAATGTTCATAGCAGTGGTGATGAGGTCATTTATGAGGTTTCCAGGTATAATGTCGATAAGAGATATTTATATAAAAACAAAACATTGTTTTCCAGGATCATGGCAAGAAGGATCTTGTTGAATGAATAAACACTGGTTATCTGAAGTTTGTCCTGGTGTCTAACTTTGATCACAGCTGGGTTGGCTTTATACATCAGATGATTGATGCATGGGCCAGGAGTCATCCAACTCCTCAGTCTTGCACTTGGCCAGAGCACTCTATTCCCATTTGCAACCTCCAAATCCACGCCCAGTGCCAGGGATAAAGGAAGTTTATGACAAGCATGCTCTTTTAGCTCAGAACTGAAGGACGTTTGGTCCCAGCCAGTAGCCATCTGCCTTTCTTCTCTTCATCTGCCATCATTGGGAAATTCCCTGCTCATCCCTTGATGGTCAGAAAGGTATTTCACTAAGAATGAATTTTACCTTGTTTATGGCTCCAGTGAGGGCACACTTCTCCTCCTCTGCAGCATGGATCCAGTCCCTTTTACTGTCCCTCGGCTGAAAGAGAAAACTAAACAATGAGACCGTGGTTCAAGAAGTGAATGACTACTGCAGAAGACAGTGTGGAGTGACGGACAAAGGGGACAGCCATCTTGTTGATGTGCACAGAGAAAGGGCATTTGGGTTTTCTTTCTTCCTCTCACCAAGGGGGGGGGGGGAAGAGTCTGTTAGTAATAAAACTCACAAAGAGTAATCAATGACTGTCTTTGGAGCAGTGGTTGCTGGGAACATTCCAAAAGGCAGGTAGCAGTCTCTTCCCTCCACACCCTGCCCTTCTTGGTCTGCGGGCTGTTCCTGAGAGCAGGATTAGCATCACTCTTCTGACCCGCCCAGAGTTTGGAGGCCGGGTTAACAGCCTTCTTCTTTGCTAGTCTCTCAAAGTTAACTCAGTGAGCCCCTTCCCCTTCTAATGTTTCATCATGCAGGTAAAGCCAGCATAAAGCAAAGGCTTTTAAAACATGGTTGTTTTAAATGCTAGGAAGGAGGTATATATATAATAAGTGTATACATAAAGTACATAGAAACATGCATACCTGCTGCTACGAATGTAAAGTAGACCAGCTACTTAGAAAATCAATATGGAGGTTCCTGAAAAACCTAAAAATAGACCAACAATATGACCATACAGCCCAGCTATAGCAGTCCTGGGAATTTATGTAAAACACTCTAAGTCAACATGTCACAGAGGTATGCACTGTGACACAATTCACAATAGTTAACTTGTGAGATCAGTCTATATGTTCAGCAACACAGGAAAGGAAAGAGAAAATTTTGTTTATACAAAAATAAAGTTTTCATCCATGAAGAAGGAAGTTTTGTTTTTCGCAGGAAAATGGACACAATTGGAGATAGTCATAACAAGAGAATTGAGTAAGTTTCAGAGAAACAAGTAACCCATGCTTTCTCTCATTTGTGGGTCCCAGTCTTTACATGCTGTGGGATGGTCTGTATGTCAAATTGCTCTGATGGGTCAATAAATAAAACACTGATTGGCCAGTGGCTAGGCAGGAAGTATAGGCGGGACTAACAGAGAGGAGAAAAGAAAGAACAGGAAGGCGGAGGAGACACTGCCAGCCGCCGCCATGACAGGCAGCATGTGAAGATGCCAGTAAGTCATGAGCCACGTGGCAAGGTATAGATTTATGGAAATAGGTTAATTTAAGATGTAAGAACTAGATAGCAAGAAGCCTGAGCCATTAGGCCAAACAGTTTAAATAATATCAGCATCTGTGTGTTTATTTTATAAGTGGGCTTTTGGACTGCTGGGGCTTGGTGGGACCTGGAGAGAAGCTCTCCAGCTACATTTACAGATAAAATTATATGTGTATAGGTGTCATGACATAGAAGCCAAGTTGCTTAGGACAAAAGGGACTAATGTGCAGAGAGAGGGACATGGTGAGGGAGAGCATATGTTCAAAGTGCATCATAGACTTGAATGAAATGGCCTTATGGAGCTGTGTACCATGACACATGTTTGCAACACAGTTGTTTTGTTTTCAGACTGTTGAAGGCCAGCCAGAACACGAAGCCCTGGCTGTAGGGTCGGGCGTCTTGGATTCCAGTCCATCGGCTCCTTGCGGGGAGTCAGGTAGACCACTTAGCATTTTGGGCCTTAGTGTTTCCAGCTATAAAGTGAGGCAATTGGTCCAGAAGCTCTCTAACTTTCCTCATGGCATAAAAATAAATGGAATCCTTGTATTTAGTGCATCAATTCCATCACTTACGATTGTTTTTGAATTACTAATATATTCTAATGATTCCACTGTGGATGCTAAATTAAAGAGCATTTTAGCTGGCAAATCTTTTTCTAGATTAATTTTCCAAATGATTAAAGGATAAAACAAAAGTCCCTGTTCATCTATAGTTGAAATGGCCACAAATGTGTGTATATCTAAACAAATAAGATAAGGACTCTAAATGGCATTTACAAGCAACAAGGGAATGTTTTTAACATTTATTGTTGCATAAAGAAAAAGAACTATGCTAATGTGTGTAGAGCTGGTAATAACATATGTGCATGACCCATGCACAGCATTGCCAGCAAACTCCATGTGTAGAAATAAGTCATCCATTACTTGGAATTTTCAGATATTAACATAGGAAACAAATAATGAATGTAAACATTTTTTGGGGGGAAATGGCAATTTCAATTCATTTCCACTTGGTTCTGTTGTCTCATGAAGCACATACTCATCCCGACAGTTTCATGAAGGTGGAGTCTAAGTCAATTTCATCCTCTGTATTCTCATTGTCTTCCCTCAAGATCAATAAATGCCGGGACCTGAGTTATTGCTCTTTCACTGCCATATATCTGTAAGCTTTCAGAGAGAGAGAGAGAGAGAGAGAGAGAGAGAGAGAGAGAGAGAGAGAGAGAGAGAGAATTCTTCTCTGCGCGATGAACAGTTTGCTTGGTCTTACTGCATGCAACCTCTATTAAAAGTCCTTCTCAGGGGCTAGGCCTGGTAGTACCCACCTTTAATCCCAGCATTTGAGAGGAAGAAATAGGCAAATCTCTGAGTTTGAGGGTATCCTGGTCTACAGAGAGTTCCAAGACAGCCAGAGCTACACATAGAAACCCTGTCTCAAAAAATCCAAAAGACCTTCTTGTAGAAGGTGGAGTGAACACTTGTCTAGCATGTTTGAGGCCCTATGTTCAATTCCCAGTACCACCTGAGAGAGAGAGAGAGAGAGAGAGAGAGAGAGAGAGAGAGAGAGAGAGAGACTTTCATTTAGTATCTTTAAATTGATTCATGTTTTCCATCTCTATTGTTCCTACTCTGGTTCATTTTTTAGTCTCCTGGGCTACTAACCCAGTTGTAGAATCCCTTTAAATCAGCACCCCTCTTCCTCCCATTCTAGCCTCTGTACAAAGAGGCTTGAGTCCTTGGTTTGCCCCCCTCTGAATTGTGGCTCCAAATATCTTCATGTCTGTTCCACATTACCACTTAGATTTTACAGCAATCAAGTTTAATACCATCCTTCTAAATGGGAGCTGAAGAGAGCTCAAATAAAGGGCTCCATGGAGGACTGGGCTGGGCTGGAGGGCGGGGTGGGACTAGCAAAACAAGATGATGTAGCAGAACAAGAAAGGAGTCTGTGCTTCCTCTGTGGGTAAGGGGTGTTACTGGTGGAATGTGTCTTCCTTTCCCCCAGAACCAAATTTGACAAAATTGGGAACAAAACCATTAAAGATAGAATTAGATCAGACATGGTGGGTCCTAGGTAAATATGCCCAATGTCCTTGGGAGATGAAGTTCTTCAGAGGGAAGAGAACCTGCAGACCCAGTGGGAAATCCATCAGTGATCCAAAGAGGCCTGGAAACTTCAGTCCTACAGTGCTATAATGAGAACCCAGCCGTGCTGACACTGTGGCCCTGAACTTCTGTTGAAGTTTCTTTGTACAGCCACCTAGAGGCTGCCAGGAGTTCCCATCAGCACCCGCACAGAGCCGCAGCAATAGTGAGGCCTCTAAGCATCCTTGTGTCTTCAACTAAAGGACCACATTGGTGCCACTGATGAACCACATCTCAGCAGAGGCAGGGCAACCTCTTCCCACTCACTGCTCTTCCAGCTGGCTTCCACCGGCCTGGCCAGAAGCTAAGGACAGGGGAGCAGAAGTGTTGAGGTCTACAGTGGTCAGCTTCCAAGGCACAGAGTGAAGGAAGCGGCTCTGGAGGATGCTGGTGGAGAATGGTGAATAACTGTGCCTACATCTTATTCAACCAGGCATTTGTCTCCCACCAACTCTGAGTCTTCTGCTCAAGTGGTCAGCCCAGGAGATTGAACCATCAACATCACCATTGTCAATACCACCATCATCAACATCATCACCACCATCAACATCACCACTACCATTGTCAATACCACCATCATCAACATCATCACCACCACCATTGTCAACACCACCACCATCAACATCATTACCACCATCATTGCATCATCATGGTCTTCACCACCACCTCCCAAATTCAACCCCTCTAACGCTCCCCAATCATAGGTAAGCCATTTTAGGGTAGGGCTGCTCACCCTCCAGGAGGTCAGGCCTTTTGCCCACACTCCAGCCTTCTCATCTGCTGGGCTTCCCTCTTCAAAGCACAGACATTTCTCCCCTGTTGTCTTACAGGCAAATTCTCTTTAATGGCACTCAAATATATGCAAAAAGTTATTGACCCCCCACATTAAAATAAAGCCTTGTGGCCTTTTCTGAATATATAAGTTGGACACATAAATAATGCATTCTCATTTATTAGAAAGTCATGCAACTTGTAAAATTAGAAGTAAGAAAGAAGAGGATAAAATAACTTAAGTCCTGCCACCATTCAACAGCCATTATTAATATTTATGTGACTGAACTTTCACATGTCTTTAGGCACATCCACATCTGTATCCCACATTTTATATAAATAGATTTTCATTGTACATACCTTTTAAATATTAGACGCAACTTTCCCCTGATCTTCAAACTTTCTGTTTACTTTTGTCCTCTTCTCCTTCCCTTCATCCTGTCCTTTATGTGACCCTGGACCCAGGGGGAAATGTTAACATTTCGGAACATAGCCTTTCATGTTTGTTTCCCTGCTTCATTGTCGTGTGTGAATGTTTAAGGACATGTATTTGGCTTTGTGTTCACTTACATTATGAAAGTTAGACCACACAATATTGGCTGCTTCTCTCTAGCTCCTAAGAAAGAGCTTACTAGTTAACCGATAACCACATGTTGTTTGCCAGTTGCTGCATCATGGTATAAACGTATCACCATTTACCCAAGCAAGCTGCTATTGGTGAATATTCGGAGCATTTACAAACACTCCACATGCCATGATGAGTATAAGGTTCTTTTTCAAATTGGCAAATTCATTTATCATGGAGTTCTCCATGAAGTGGACTGATCTTACCATGTGTCTATCCTAAAATTATTGTACATACATGACATTCCAGGTCATGAGGTCCTAGGGTTGTAATACTGTCATTTTATCATCAGTACATGATATTAATGAAATTCTGAAAAATTAAAACTGCATATTTTTTTGATCCATGATAAGGAACAATTTATTGGAAACCAAATCCAAACAATAAAAGGGTCTCCTGATTGTCTAAAGAAATGCGAATTTAAAAACCATAGATAGTCCTGGTTTGTCAAATTAGTGACAAGTTCAACACATCCACACTTCTGTGGATGCACGTGAGCTACAAAGGA